ACCTCTCCATTTATTACGTGCACTGCAGTTACTAGCTAGTTTTTTGTTTTTTTGTTTTTTTGTTTGTTTTTTTTTTGGTGTAAATTGGTCTCTAGCAGTCACACCTGAGTTGTTTGTTCTTATTTGTCATAGAGAAAATAATTTGCTGGATGTTAATATGTGTGTGAGTAGCCAGGATATGAGGTGTTGAGATATAATTAGTACATCCACAAAACTAGACTGCAAAAAAATGACTTTTAAGTGAAGAAAATACAGTGTTAGCATTGTGTTTGTGCTAAGACTGGGTCTCGTAATATAAGTGTACTGTATTTTTGAACCAAAGTGTGTATGGTTCAAAGACTCCACCAGTGCACTGGCAGTCTTCACCGGTCACACCTACTGGTGAGCTTTCAATCCTGATCTCCCCAAAATATATTAACAGCATGTAAAAGTCAATTCTATTTCATTTTAATTTAGCTTAATTCTGAACTTTGGTTAGCTTGGCTTGTGTGTGAGCAAAGGGGTCCTGTATTATGCACCTGTTGCTAACTGCAAAACCGTGAATGGCCACACGGGGGCGTGTGGAGTCCAGCTCATAGACACTGCAAGGAAAACTTAGAAAAGAAAAAGGTTTTAGAAAAGAAAAAACTTCCTTTTAATGTAAAAGCTATTACCTGCTGAGGTGATGAATCACCTGTGTTTCTCACAAATGCATGTATTTCTTTAATATTGTTATTACAGTGTATCACTAATATTACCCTAACTTACATTAATAAGTAATACGTATATTAACTTATATGAAGAAATAAGCTTTCCATTGAGCTGCACATCTCTCAGTTTTTTTTTCATCAATGCTGTATGAACTAGTTTCTGGACAACTGAAGGAAACGTGCAGCCCTTCATTATAATTATCATTCTTAGTTACTTTAATAGCTCTGTGTTTACAAGGGATAATTATAAGTCACTTTGGATAAAAGTGTTTAACAAATGATTCTAAACAAAACGGTTTTTATTAAGTTTCATGTCCCCCAAATCTCCCCTAACCCTAAATACATGCCTACAGTTTCTGCACTCCAGTAAACAACAGACGCCCCTGTTATGCTGGCTTCAGTCACCTTGAGAGCAGTTTTATTTGATTTTAATGATGGAGGGATTCACGTATGAAGAAGGAAGAGTTTCATCTTTCAGGTTTTTATTGGCATGTGCATAGAGGATGCTGTAAGCCTCCATATCCAGTGAAATTCTTATGCTACAGTTGCACACTCCTGCAAAGACACAGTGCAAAAAATTATAAATAAACTCTATACTAGTACAAAAAACAACATTGTAAACAGTGCACACAGACAAAATTATAATAATACACAAAAAAGACAAAAAAAATAATAAACTGTAAACATTATAGTCATTATACGCAGTCAAGAAGTGACACAGTGGAGGATATTGCACATATAAGGACAAGGACATTGCACATAAACACACAAATTTCAACACAACATATATGAAAGTATGAAATATCTGAAATGACTGGCGATCGAGTGGTGAATGAGCGCTGTAGTGTTCTGGATATGATATAATAAAGTGCAGTATGGTAGTGGAGAGAGATGGCATGGAGATGGGCGTTATTCTCGGCTGTCTGCCTGCAGGATAATGCTGTTTTTGAGGCGAGTGGTGTTTGCCTTGATGCTGCAGAAGCGTCTGCCAGAGTGGAGAGGGGAGAACAGAGCATGAGCCAGGTGCACGGCATCCAAGATGATGGACTGTGCCCTTGTCCGGCATCTGGTGGTGTAGATGAGCTGGAGTATTGGAAGCTTAGCACCAATGGTTTTGGAAGCTGTTTTACCTGTCTTTTATAGAAGCCTGAGGTCTTGCACAGTCAGAGCGCTCTTTAACATCACACTCACATTGACAATAAACAGGGAGAGTTGCACTGTGTGGGCTGAAGGTGTCTTTCTGTATGAAGAAAAATATCTTCAGATGAAGAAACCAAGGATTGCAGGATGCTAAATGATTACTGGGTTAGGAGTCAAGCTAATCCTGTCATTGACCTTTGACCTCTGCTGCTCTGTATATCCCTCTAGTCATTAGCCTTATGATCCATGTTCAGGGATAATGTAGGATAACAACAGCAACAGACAAACTGATATATTATATGGCCAAAAGTTTGTGCACCTGACCATCAAACCCTTATGTGCTTGTTGAAAATCCCATTCCAGATTTAGTCCCCGTTATTACTGTTATAATAAGCTCCACTCTTCTGGGAAGGCTTTAGACTAGATTTTGGAGCGTGGCTGTGGGGATTTGTGTTCATTCAGCCACAAGAGCATTAGTGAGATCAGGCGCTGATGTTGGGATGTCGAGGAGGTCTGGGGTGCAGTCAGTGTTCCAGTTCATCCCAAAGGTGTTCAGTGGGGTTGAGGTCAGGGCTCTGTGCAGGACACTCGAGTTCTTCCACTCCAACCTTCACACACACACCATGTCTTCATGGAAATCACTTTGTGCACAGACGCATTGTCATGCTGGAACAGGTTTGGGTTTCTTAGCTCCAGTGAAGGGAATTTGTTAAAAATGCTACAGCATACAAAGACATTCTATACAATTGTGTGCTTTCAACTTTGTGGTAACAGTTTGGGGAAGAATCACATATGGGTGTGATGGTCAGGTGTCCAAATACTTTTGGTCATGTAGGATAGATAAATAGATAGATAGAGTCCCTCTTCCGTTTTTTTCCCCCAAAATGGTTATGATAGTTAACGATAGAGAGAGAGCGAGAGAGAGAGAGAGGGAGAGAGAGAGAGAGAGATGAATAAAGATGGCCGCGCTCGCGCCAGCGCCGCTGAGCTGCTGTTTGAGTTGTGTGTTTTGGTGGTGCATGTTGTTGGCTGTCAGTGTTCCGAGCAAGCTGAGCCGGATCGCTTGTTCCACAGAAGACCAGTTTTTCCTCCACACCGGGTTTCTCATTAGTCGGGATCAGAGGAGGGAGAGTCGCGCGTGTCCCAGGTAGCGGAGCGCAGGGCGGGGAGGCGCGCGCGGGAGCTCCGGTGGCTGCAGGGGGACTCGGTTCAGTTCTCACAGGAACACGCTCATCTCCGCGCTTTGTGGAATAAATAAACCAGAGAAACCGCAACTACTAATCAGGACAGACGGGAATTTACCATCACATTTGCTTCCTGCTTTCCCGGAAGCCGGTTACGCGAGGCGTCGATCCCGGACAGCGCGCGCACCAGCTCGAGCCCGCAGCCAGGCATTCACACCTCTCAGGTAAAGCTGTGTGTTTCTGCAGCAGCAATGATGATGTCACAAGTCTCCTCATCTATACCGAGATTTATTATAAGCTTTATTATAAGCCCTGACATAGTCGGTTTGTTCATTCCTCTTAGCATATAACCTGCTCATCTCAGCCCTCATAGTTCTAACAGACTTTAATAATGCAAACCTGATAAACACACAAAACACGTGGGTTAGGGTTCAACTGGGCAGAAGCACAGCAGAGCTCAAACACCTCATGCTTTCTATCACAGGTTCCCAGTCATGGTCCTGAAGAGCCTCCTGTCCTGCACATTTTAGTCTTTTCTCTGCATTGATGTGGGAGTGTTAGAGCAGGGAAACCACTCAAATTCTGCAGTTTCCCTCAGGATCAAGAAAGTTTCTATCTATCTATCTATCTATCCTTCTATCTGTCTAAAATGCGCAGGACAGGAATTTTCTCCAGGATCGAGGTTGTGCTCCTGTATAATTTAATGGAAACTCATAACTTTTCTAATCCAATACAACATCTGTGAAATCCATTTTGGATGTGATGAATCCAAATACATGCGATTCTTAATAAAGTTGCACTCACATCGAAAGCATTTCAGAAGCACTTTTAATAAGCCATACCTCTCAGAGAACAGATACAATCCCATTTTAATAAAAGTTGTAGTCCAGATTAACTTCATGTGATGCTCCGTTGGGGCACCTAAAAGACCATTAAAGGAAAACCCCACTATGAAACACATTAAATATGTTTTATACTGAAAAATTTGCAATTTGCATAGAAATGTTGTTTCTAATTTCTCGGTTAGTGCTGTATTCTTGTTATTCCTGTGAGAAGTTAGTGGGTGTGTGCTGCGATGACATCACAGGGGGGCATTGCTAGTATAGGTACAATGGAGTTTAATAGGAGAACAATTTCAACCATCTCAAGCCTCAGATTTTGCTATTAGCTTTTAAAAACAGAAGAATGAGAGCTTCTTTTCTCACTCACCATATCATCATATCAAAGAGAAATCCAATGTAGAAGTAATAGAGAAATTGGTGCAAATATTGGATTCAAAGTCCCGGAATTCAGTGCAGCTATACGATGCAGTTGAATGGAGTTATAGCAGAGGCTCGGCTCAGCTAGTTAGCAGTCTACAAGCTGATGAGCGTGATGGTGTTGATGGCATATTAGCATGAAAGCTCTAGCTTTGCAGTGTACAGATGAAGAGGTGAGAGAGCTGGACAGACTGAAACACTAAAGCGTTGCTGCATTGCTCTCTTTCGTTAGAGATGAGAGGACTAAATCCCACTGCACCATTAATATCAGGTAGTCGAATGGCATTGTGGGTAATGTAGGAAACCGTTAACTAAAGTGAAAATAGACCAACATGTGGATGAAAGAAGTTTAAGCTAAAAATAAAAAGTCAACTCAGAGTTTCATTACAAAATAAATCCTGGACATTATTGAAGTCCACACTTTGATTAAAAAGTCGTTCAGGATGGATTTTTCCTCAGCTGCAGACCACTGCAGAAAAAAGGCTACGTGATTGGTTGCTACAGCTTGACATATTACTTTAGCCAATAAAAGTAGGCTACTATTTTTGTTCTTCTTCTTTCAGCTGCTCCCATTAGGGCTCGCCACAGCGGATCATTGGTCCGCATATCTGATTTGGCATAATTTTTACGCCAGATGCCCTTCCTGATGCAGCCCTCCCCTATTTTATCTGGGCTTGGGACTGGCACTGGCAGTATACTCTCTCATGCAACCCCAGTGGCTGGGTAGGTTCCCTGGCCAGGAATCGAACCTGGGCCGTGGCAGCAAGAGCGCCGAGGCCTAACCACTAGTCCTTCAGGGACCCAGTAACAGTAGGCTACTAATTCACATAATCAAGTCCTCCTTATTTCTAGAACCAGCACTGAACAAATTCTAGCAATGTGAAGCTCTCTGGATTTTTTTTTTAGATTAGCTGTCTCCCATAGGTGTTCAGTTGGGCTAAGGTCTGGTGAGCACTGAGTACAGCGCTTTGCATCAGCAGATGGCACTGTGTCTGGAAAACAGAGGGAGAAAAAGAGGTCAGGTTTCCTTCTTTTTCATCTCCTCCTGTGCAGGACTCTTAAAACTGTAACTCAAAATGAGGATGTGAGCAGCAGGTGCAGGATGTTGATCAACGGAGGTGCTGTATCACACCGAACATAATTATTGTAATTTATTATAGTAATATAGAGGAAAATATGTCTCGTAAAGGATTTATGTCTATTTACACAGGAAGCGCCAAAAAGATGGTGGCTATATCTATATATA